CAGTTTCTTAATGAGAACGGGGTGAGAGACAGTGTCAAAAGCCTTCCGGAAGTCCAGGAAGACTATGTCCACTGCTACCCCTGCATCTAATGATCTGGTGATCTGATCATAAAAAGCCACCAGGTTGGTCTGACAGGACCTGCCACTGATGAACCCGTGCTGAAGGGAGTATCTTGTGTGATACTCCCTTCCCAACTGATTAGGTTAGGTGGTAACTCCCTGGGTTGATTTCCTGCTGACTGTGACTGCGAGTTGTTTTAAGCTACAGGTAAGGGTTAATAGTTAAGTTTTTCCTTAAGGTGTATGCTTGTTCCTCTTTACAAACCCTGTTATAGTTTAATGTTTGCTTGTGAGTGTGGAAGTTTATTGAACATCTGGTTAAAACTTATACCTAAAGTTGAACTGGCCCTTGATACTTCCATTCAGTAATACCCACCTACCTACCTACCCACCCAACCACCACCCACATCTCTCTCTACATCTATACACAGTATAACCTCATAAATCTGGCATCTTTAAGACCTAGCACCTGCCGGAAATTTGACCTGGCCAGTCAGACACATGGACAGAGGAGGGGCGAAAGCTTGCATGCAGTGGCTGCCATCACCATCCACCACCCTGTGCCACCATGCCGCTCTGCATGTGGCCACCACTACTCCCTCACCCTACTGCACGACTGGCCACTGGGGGTAAACTGGTCAAAAAAGGTTGAAACCCCCCAATGTAGTGTATTTCTTAAAAGTGCCAGATTTTTGAGAATTCTGGAATTTTGAATTTCCGGTCACCTGGCTGGGGTCGTCTGACCCCAGATGTCTTTCCTGCTCATGCAGAGGGCTGGACCCGATCATCCTTTGGGGTCCCTTCCAGCCGTACAATTCTATGACTGAAAACTGCATTTATTAGGGGTGTGCAAAATGGGCTGTATTTGATTTGGATTCGGATTTGGCCTAAATCGGGAACAGTGATTAAATTAATTGATCCAGATCACTGTCCCTGATTCAATTCAGCTGAATCCAAATCTGAAGATTCGATGCCAATTTGGAGAATCAGTGATTTGGACAGAGACACAGCTTTACATGTTTTTTTTTACGTACCTCGAGCTACCAGGCATGGCTCATGAATGCTGCGATGCTGGGTGGATGGAGCATCCCACAGGAGCATGGGAGGGTCCCCTGCGTTCTCGGCAATGAACCTGGAAGTGGACCGGAAATAATTCTGGTCCACTTCCAGGTCTGCCAGGGACCATGTGGGGGGGGGGGGCCCACACTCTCCCCCAGCTCTGCAATTGGCTGTGGGAGGACCCCAGGTACCCCCTCAGACCCAGGAGGCACTAGTCACTGAGTCAGGGGGGTGCAGGGGAGCCACCCAGCACACTCCCAAGCAGACCCAGAAGTGGACCGGAAGTGCTTCTGGTCCACTTCTAGGTCTCCTGCTGAGCCCACTGGGGACACTCCATCCGCCCCAGCATCGCAGCATTCACGAGCTGCCTTGAGGTATGTAGAAAAAACATTTAAAGCTGTGTCTATGTCCAAATCTCCGAATCTTTCCAAATCGATTCGGAGGGTTCCGATTCGATTCCAATTCAGAGATTTGGCCACCAAATTGGGACGAATCTCTGCCAAATTGAATCAGGGACCAAAGCTTCGCATAGCCCTAGTATTTATGAGATTACACTGTATATATTAAACCCAAACTACAGATCAAATTACAAATGTTTACAAATGACATTTTCACGCTATCACACCTCATCTGTTTCCTACTGCTGTGCTATTACTTATAAAGAGAAGATCTTGACTATGTGCAAGACACTACAAGTACCAGCAATGTATAGTATTCAGTAATCTGGGTTGATTTCAATTAGTCCATGTTATTTTAATGAATGTAAAACATTTGATTGTTTCACATTTAATAATGAATGAGGTCATGTTCCACCAAACCAAGCATACAGAATATTGTCATATCCTTTGACACGGAGCTAAGCAGCATGAGGTGTGCATGAAAGACGGAACAAATTAGAGGGTGCGCTGACCCAGCAGGATAACATGAGGAAGGTCCTTGGTGACTTCCTCCTCCAAAATCCCTCCCATGGGTGTTTCCACTAGGGAGGGGTGATCAGGATCAACATGTTTGAAGGAAATGATGATGCTGGGCAAGCAAGTTAATCAAATAATTTCTCTAATCATCACAAGCAAGTAAGGTAATTATTTTATAAATATAAATAAATGTGAACTTGCAAAATATCTGAGACATTGAAAGTTACAGTATAGAAATATGTCTAATCTAGCTAGATTTTATTTAAGGCTCCATTAGCATAATCTCTAAGCACTAATAGTCCTTAATGTATTTATTTTTGCACCATACCTGCTTTTCAAGGAGGTGTTATTTTCCCTCCATTTTGCAGAGGTGATACAAAAGATTACCATATTTACTTGCATACAATATGCCCCCAAATTAATTTAAAAAAAAGATTTTTTTGGAGTCATGTCTGAATCTTGACCATTGCTGCACAGCTAAAGCTACAGTTTTAATGTTCTCACAACCACCACTGAATTGCTGGGCTAAAGTAACTGCCACTTCAGCAGTGTCTGTGAAAAGGTTAAAACTAACTCTGATGTTAAGATCACACTGTGATACGTCCTCTCTGCAACCATAAAAAGAAATAGAGCCCTGGCGATCATTACTGTGTCCCTCTGCTTCTATTCCAACACAGAAGTCAGTTTTTCCACTTAAGACATGCAGCCCAATTTAGGAGGGCAGATTTTTGGGGGGCATGTGGCATGTAAGTAAATATAGTATAAGTGATTTCGTCCCAGATAACATATGATGTCTGTGGTAGACCAGGGAACTGGGCCCAGGTTTCATGAGTCTCATTACTGAAATCCTAACAGTCACTCAGTAAAAACTAGGATAAATTGTGTAGGTCTAATCCACCCACCTGTTCGTAGCAGAAGGCTTGAAGAAAATATTTTGTGTTTTTTATTATGGGGAGCCACTACTTATATGGAGTTTTGCATGCAATTGTTCAGGCGTTATTCCTACAAGATTTAATAACCCCTTTGTAAAGTAATGCCCATGTGTATCTGGACAGTCTTCATGAAAGACCTTGCAACAACACAGTGAAGGATAAAGACATTTATATTTTTCTTTCCTCCTTCACTTCAGACTATCTAATAGAGCAGAGAACAAGGAATTTCAACCTTCTGTATGTTAAAAAATTACCACACGTGCTGCAGAGAGCAGTGATTACAGTTCATTGTGGTTTAAAACAAGTCCAGAATTCATGTTATAAGAATACAAATGAGACGCATAGTAAGAGGACACGTAAGGCGACAGATAAAATACAGACACAAATTCACCTACCATCTTTGTGGAAGTTGTATTTCTTAATTCCACACCATCTTGTCTCCCTTAGGACATTTTGTTTTTTCACCAGACTGCTTTTATTTACCTTTCAACTATCATCACCCTACCCCTCTTTCTAATGGATTGTTTATTTACTTCCACTGAGCAAACTAGCACCATGGTTGGGTTT